GTGGATAATAAGAAATTAAAGGCTAGACTGTCGTAAGTGCAAATTTAAATTTTAAACTAAAAGTTAAGAAAGTTCTTTGAGATCGTCTCTCTAACAATTTTCAGATTTGTGATAACGTACAATAGATGAGTTGTACAAAAGAGAAGTTGCGTTAGCTTAAACGCTTATTTGTCACCTTTTAAACCAAGATTATTATTTCTTTTTAACCCAAAAGATATGATTCTATCAACTTCTTAAAATAGATATTGCTTCGAAATTGGGTGTTCACGTGTGTAGCCATGCATAGTTCTTGTCTATTCTTGTTGAAGTTTCCCTAGTTGTAAGCCTGTTTTTCTTTTTACTTTTCTTTTGTGATTTCTTAATCAAATTATGACTATGAAGGATATTTTAATTTGCATTAGAATTCGATTAAAGTTTTTCCTGTATATGTAAAAGAATTTGAGCATTCAATTCAAATTTTAAAACAATGAGTGAAGTGGTCCAAAACATTATAAACTCGTCAAACAACCGATGAGGAACCATTGTATTTCTCAAAGTATATAGCACGATAAGCAAAAAGGAAATATCTAAAATTTGGGTAGAATAGTGATAAACACAATCACAAGGAAAACACACATTAAAGAAGAACGTTAGCGTAAAATTACTACTGATCCCAATTAAGTACTAGTTTGAGTTTGATCCCAATTAAGTAGACTTGAGTTTTCAAGTCTTAGATATGAGTTCATTTGAATCCATAACGTTTAGCATAGACCTGGATTTATTTATGTAAGACAATTAATGAAAACATTGAATTATATATGAACTCATACCTCAAACAACGTGATGGGTTCAGTGGTTGCAATCCAATTTTTAAACCCATAAAGTTAAAATCATGAATCTGTCTCTGGCGTTAGCATTAGTATAATGGAAAGAGAAAAAGTTTATCTCATTCAAAGATGTAAAAACAGAAGAAAATGAAGTTATCGTCTACCATAAAAAGATCGTAATGAAAACATAGTTCATGCATCTTCGTGCAGTACTAGTTGTTTACCCTCAAAATTGGATTACAATTAAATTTGTAAGTGGTTTTAAGGATATGCAGATTAACTTGACACAAAGCGATAAATTAAGTTACTATTGAAATATAATGATAGAGTAAATTTAAACCACACTAATTGAACAATTATAGTCTTGGGAGATTAGCTACCCTTGAATTAGATGCACTTCGATAGGTATCGGAACACAATTGAATAAAAGCTTAAAGAAAAAAAAATATATTGCTTTGAAATGCGTGTTACAATGGTAAATACTTACTCACACCGGGTGTTTGCACCAAACTATATTAACTCACTATGGTTAATTAATTTAATTAGATGAGAATGCATATAATTTATCATGGTTAAATGCTTGAAGTCCATATGCAAGACACATATGATATATCTATTAATCCCCTTTATCAGACCCCCTTTTATATAGTAGGGGAGTCCAATATAAGGTACAATTCTATAAAAGGTAAAAATTCCCTAATTAACTTATTGCTGATCTCACATCGATATATGCCGAGATCTCCGCCGTGATATCCGGTCGATCACAGATATCATGGTCTTCTGTTGGCCGAGCTTGACTACCTGACAATGTTCTTCGAAGATGATCATGGCCAGGATCGATGCCGAATCACAACTCTGATATCCTCGAAGGCGGACGTTATAGTCTGGACTCAGAATTAATGAGATCTTAACCTCGGTCTAGGCCCCCTGTTACTATATCTCGAGCTTGGCCTATCATATCGGAGACCGGAATGTACTACGAGACCGATTTTACCCGTATACACTAGTTACCCGTTACATTGAGAAAAACTAAAATTCCATTTAAGAACTGGCGAAAATGCTATAAACTGTCAATTGTAATCATCATATATTAGTCTTGAGCACACTTCAAATTTCTTTCCTTAGTGATGGAGCAAGATTAAAAATGGCTAGACAAATTTTAAAGAACTAACAAAAAGCTTACCTTATGTTATAAGAAGAAGTTTGAGAAATGGACACTCCTACTATAACCATAACCCTAAATTAACGTGCATGTTTTACCACTCTGACTGATGATGATACCTATATATATTGTTCCTCTTGTGATTTCAATTAATCCAATCCAACCTTATCCCCATCATATCTTCTTTTTCTCTCATTATTATTATAACTTGCCTGATTATTTCCAGCATTGTCATCAGTTGCTATCCCTAAAAAATCAACTGTTGGTTTTGAGAAGAATGAAAAATCCCATTTTGACGTGTTACATTATTATTAGGGTCTTCTCTACTCATTCCCATGATTTTCTCGATTGAAGGGTAGTTCAAAATTCCCAACATATAAACCACGGCCAATAGTTCTTGGAATATTATATTACTTCGTCCACCATCTTCTTCAACAGAATTTGAAGAATTATTAATAATATTCATGCTATTTGGAATCAACAATATAATTGGTGGATTATAAGGTGTGAATCCTTTCATGAGAAGTATAGGAGCAATGGTGTTATCCCTGATTTTTGCTCCCATTTCTGATGCTTTTTGTAACAATGCGGTTGCTGAGGTGAAAGCTGATCCAGTAGCTAGTGAAGAGATATTGTTATAATTTGATGTATTTCTTGGATTAAAATTATCTGATGAATCCATATTGTAATTCATTTTCATGACAAATGTTGGAGAAAAATTAGTATGTTGCAGCTTGGTTTTGTAGGATTATTCCTCCTGTGGCATTGGCAGATAAATTGTGGTTCCTTTTTTTTTTTTTCTCTCTCTCTTCAGTTGGTGCATCACAAAAGGCTCGGTGTGTTACGTACAAAGCTGTCCTTCCTACAAATGCAATATATTGAAATCAAAGGTGGGGCCAGGATTTCAAGTTTATGAGTTCAGGATTCTGATCATTTTAAGTTCCTGAGTTCTAAATTAATAATTTATGAGNT